CACATGCCCACATGTGCTCGTGTGTCAGTTGGTGGGTCCCACCTTAAAGAAGTGGTATGCGTGTCAGTAGGTGAGCCCCATGAAGGCTTCGAAAGTTTGAACTCTCGCACTCGCACTCGCAGCGTACAGCGGGGCCGACGATGATCATGGAATTGAAGGCCAGCTGCCGATCGATGGATGTTGAAGGCCTCCTCGTTTGGCTTTATTTTCCTAATAAATCAAAACGATTTATTAGAAAATAAAAATAAATTTATAGATAAAACTTTTATATATATGTTTTTTGTGACTTAAAAATCAATGCTGAAAAGAAACTACATTAAAAATATCTTAAAATTAAGTTTGAAAATTTAAATTTTAACTTTTTCTTTAGCTGATTAGGCCATCCGATGAAAACCCGACGTGTTTTCACGGACGTCAGGCATGCCTCCTTGCCATGGACAGTGCGATGTCAATGTTAGCCGCCATGCATTCACTGTCATCATCGATCGGCTCGTCGTCGCCGTCGTGGTGGGGGAAGGCTCCTTGCCTTACCAAGGAGTAGCAAGGTGATTGGCAAGAAGAGCATCGTGTCGGCCGCGCGCCGGCGTACGTCAGCACCAGGGCGCCGGCCGGTGCCTTCGATCTGTAGTGCTTGTTCTTTTTTCGGCGGGTGAGCTGTAGGACTTGGTATAGCACGTACCGGTGGATGGATCGATCTGCATATGATTTCCCAAACTGAAGTGCATCATCCGCCTGACGCCGTGTTTAGTTCCAAAATTATTCTTCAAACTTTTAACTTTTCCATCACATCAAAACTTTCTTATACATATAAACTTTCAACTTTTTCGTCACATCGTTTCAATTTTAACTAAACTTCTAATTTTAGTGTGAACTAAACAGAGCTTGAGTTTAATTTTTATCTGCTGCAAATTAAGGACAGCTGCCATGCACGGACGTACGTGAGGCACAGGACGCGGCCGGCCGGTGCGCCGTGCGCATCCATGCATATGCATCCACCATTCTTGCAAATGATGCGAGCCTCGATATGAATGAAACGGACGAAGCGGCAAACAGCGTACTCCGTACTACTTAGTACCGACGAAGCATATTGATTGTGTAGGTGTAACGTCCATTGTTAAGTGGGGATCCTTTGTTTAGCTGTTCCATGAGATACACTACAAATTAAATAATGTATAGACACGTACGCATGCATGCAAAGGGATCAACGTCATGAGAGAGTAGTTCGCTAAGTTTGAAAAGTACAACACGGTACAGATTAGCCATGCATAGAGAGCTTGGATAGTAGTAGTAGGTGGTTATTGCGATTGTTGAGCTTAGCGCCGCAGGTACATAAAATGAAACATGGCATGATGACACGTAGCAACGAAATATATTGACGCGAATACCTCTGCACGTGTAATGTGTGTGCAAGAAAATTGGTGACTCTTTTTTTTGAGAACTAGAGAAAATTGGTGACTCATGACAAGTACTGTGAGTTGTGACCGTACGTGAGGGGATGGAGCATTTTGGAGGCATTGAGAAGAACGTCGCCAAGAGGGGTTCGATATGTTCCTGAGACAGTCAATAAAGGAAATGATTATCCTGTTGGACCTATTGTGCTTGGATTTTTCGTCTTTGTGGTTCAAGAATAAACGGTCGTTACCATATATGCATGCAACACAAATTAAGTTCGTAAGTTATATAATTATATGTAATTTGTATTTGTATATATTGCCATATTGACCGATCTATTTAAGAACATCTACAAACTTAGAAAAGAAAGCCTCCACATTTGCTCTCACGGTCTAGATATTCTCATATTAATTGGAGAAAAAGAAAAATAGAGTTCATATAGGAATACAATTTAGAAATAGTTGAAATTCGGAATTAAAAATAAGAAATATTAGAAGAGAAGACTAGAGTCATGCCGATATAAATAATAAAAAATCAGATTTAAAAAATTATATGAGAGAAAATATAATAATGCTAGTTAAGAATAAAAAAACTCATATCCACGCGCTTACATGCTCATCCCAAGCTATCTTATTCATCTGAACATTTTTTTTGAGAGAACAAACTGGCACATATATAAATGGAGGAGACTTTGAATCGGGCGCACGATCTGGATTGGCAAAAGTTGGCGCTGATGGCTGCCACGTATACGTGCAAAACTACTTTAAACTAATTTTTCTCTTAATTTACTTATCCAAATCATGATCCGATTGCACCATTAAATTTGTTGCAATTAAATTTTCAAAATAAGACCACACATGGATATATTCAGACGAAAAAATTTTTAGCTTATTATTAAATTTTTTTTACATGTTGCACGATGTTCCACCAGGTATATCGGAATTGTTTCACTAAGTAGATCGAAAATGTTTCAATCGTTTAAATCGGATGTTGTTTCACCTTATATAAAAACAATGTTTCAGCAAATAGCGAAATAATGTTTTAGTTCACTGCAACATTAGATCTATACATAGTGAAACATTGTGAGGACACTTAGGTGAAACATTTTTGGTGAAACAAAAAATGAAACGAATCCACTTAGTAGAGGGTTTTTGATTTTTTACAATAGAGTTATGTGTGTGGACACGTGGTGGGCTAGGGGGAGCGCAGGCATGCACGTGCGCGGAGGGCGGGGGGAGCGCCCGATTTTTGCTCCCCCACCCGGTCGTCTGATGATAATCATTTCCATAAATAAATTGATGAAGTTACTCTAGATATCTTGCACTCTAACACACATGCATGTTGCCTCAGAATAATTAGCCGTAGGCCATTGGGAGATAGAGCGTCGATCGATCGATCGATCTGTGATTCATGGATCTCTGATCGGAGGAAACTGTGTACTATGCACCTACTGCTCGTGCTTGAGCTTGACTACTAAGAAAAAAAAATCCTTTAACAAAATGCAATAAGAGATGGTGCTCGAATAACCATAATTAAGTATCTTTACACAGTGATCTCTACTGACAACATATTCTACCACTTCTTTACTACTAAGTGACCTTTATGAGTTTTAAGGTTAATAGAAAAAATGTTCTTGTACGGGAGTTGAGTTGGTAGTTGGGGTTAACGTTTTAATTTAGCAGAAAACCGATCAAAACTCACCAAATTTGAAGGTTTGATGCAGGATGGGAGTAAATTCCGAGTGGAATTTTAAATAGTTTTCGAGAATTTTAAATTTTAAACGGTAAAGTGGAACGACATATGGCAAACGAAAATGATATACATACGACCCTGTTGTCCGGCTACCGTGTACGACTCTGACCACAAGGAAAGGCACAGACAGTAAAAGTCTTACTCCGTAATAGTATCTGACATGCGTAGTGATGCCGTAACGGAGTCGGACGCTAGTCCAACGTTGGAGTCGTATGTATAGCAGCGTTCTATAGCAAAACTGTCGTACCACCACGGGTCGGGATCCAATGCCCAATAAAAGGATGAATCATACTGATAGTATAAACATATATAAAGATCAGGTACAATAGCAGGCTATAAGCCAACTGCAAACATATTTTAAGAAGATAAATAAGGAGAGAGAAGAGTAGTGGGCTACAGATTTGTAGCCAGCTGTAGCACGGACTCCAAAACACAGTGTGTGTATGACATGTGGGACCAGGTATTAATAGTGTAGTATATAACTATTGTATTAATGAGCTATTAGATTGAATATATATGAATTGGAGCTAGTAGCTGGCTATACTCTAAAACGGTGTATGTATATCGATTTTAACATCAATAAAAAAACCACTTGTAAAGCGTCTCTATCGCTAATGGCTGCTGTGATCAAGGGGTCCACGCGAGGGAACTATGCATCGAAAAAGAAAGAGAGAGCGAAAGAGGACGCATGATTGATTGGAAACCTCTTTTGCATACCATTGTGAAACTTCCTTGGGGCAAACCTCCGATTAATAATTTGGCACGCAGCGCTGTGGCGCCGTCTGCAAAATGCGCAATGCCGGAGAGAAGGTACAAACCCTTCACAGCCTTAACAGTACCAACACATGTATACATGTTGTGTCCAGCAATGGAAATATGGCGCGGTTCCCACATGCAGGGCATATGCACCCGCGACAAAAATCATAGGCTAATAAAAAAAATTAATTTCATAAATAAAAGCTAATCCACGAGACAAATTTTTAAGCCTAATTAATCTATAATTATCAAAAGTTTATTATAGCATCACATTGTCAAATCATGACGTAATTAGGCTCAAAAGATTCGTCTTGCGAATTAGTCCAAGGTTATGAAATGGGTTTTGTAATTAGTCTATGTTTAATACTCTAAATTAGTATCAAACATCCGATGTGACAGGGACTTCACATGTAACTATTTGCCACTTTTCGACGTGGCAATTAATTATTTACCTATGGATCCACATGTGGATTCACGTGTCATTGAGATATAGAGTAGCAAATAGTTAATTACCCCCGTGGAACATTTGAATCTTCCACGCTCTCTCTTTCTCTTCTTAGTTTCTCAATTTCCTCTACCTCTTTTTTTTTATTAAAAAGATACTCCAGAATTTCACTTTAAACCAATTTTTATTACTTATATCATTTCCATCACTTATCTCTTGTTCCGACACATCATTTAACCGATGATTTCATTTCAGAATGGGTAATCTTACGGATATTTTATTTTGGACCGAGTAATCTCATTCTGTACTTTTAAAGTGAAAAATGTCGGTTAGATTTGATAAGAGTGCTCGCATTTACCATTAATTATTCTTTCAGCGATAGAATACGTACCCGTTAATAAGAAGACGTTCGTGGTGATTTCATCAATCTTAATACATACCGGCTCAATTTTACATAGTTGGTCATGAGGATAGTGTGTACGTGTGTGCGTTCTTATCGTGTGTTTCTAAAAGAACATTCGTAATAAAAAAAAGTGGCCGAAAATAAAAAATTTTATTTATTTATTCATTTTCTTTTCCTGTTGCTGCTCCTCCCATATCTCATCGCAATTTTCTAACGATAATAATTCAGATGGCCCCCCGCCCACGCGCCGCCGTGCGGTGCCGCAGCCGCAGCCACGCGGCCCTCGCTCGCCGTCCTCCCGCGCCCTATAAACGCCCGCCGCTTACGCACGCACCGCAGCAGCAACGAGCAACCGCACCCCAATGCCTCCGCTGCTCCTCGCCTCCTCCTCCTCCTCCTCGCCGGCGCTGGCGCCGCCGCGGCCGTCATGCAGGGGCCGCGTCAGGGTCGCCGCCGCCTCCGCCGGCGTGAACGGCCGCGCCGGGGGAGGAGGAGGAGGAGGAGGTTTCCCGGGGTTCCTCCCCGCGGCGGTGGAGCGGATCCGCGACGAGCCCGCCATCCGCCTCGCCAAGCGAATCGAGCGAGTCCCCGTCCAGGCGAGCTGCTGCCTGAATCCCTCCCCTCCCCCCCAAAACTTATCGAAAATGGTGTACCCGCTGATGAAACTGATGATGTTTCGTTGTTTTTCAGACTGGCTTCTCCCAGAGCCCGATACTTAGCAGCTGCGTGAGGCCGCTCAAGCAGCAGCAGGACAGGGACCCCGTCCTTCTGCTCCATGGCTTCGACAGGTGCGTGCATTGCAACTTCGTAAGCCTGAAACTTCTTGTGTATGTATTCGCCCAGTGACGGACGCAGGATTTTAAGACTGGGGTATTCACCTCAACAATTGCAAGCACCGTGTTCCTAGTGTTTAGTGGGATAGAGTTTGGGGATTTAAAGTTGTTGGCTACTGGGTTAGAAGTAGTGTGAGCCTGGAGTACAGAAAAAATGGATTGTTAATTAAAAAGTTCGAAGTAAATATATACATACGTGATATACCTATATACATCGATTTTGTTTCACAATTTTTTGGTATTCCCGGGAACCCCCGGCGTCCGCCACTTTATGTGCCGAATTCATTTCATGGTTCGACATGTGCCTAATTCTTAGGAAATCTAGTGTTGGCCACGGTATATGTGTACAAGAGTGTGGGATTAGCAGCCTGGACCTTTTAAAAGTATTAGATACAGTTCTTGTTTAGAGTGGAGGTACACCTACCCGTTGTTGGAGGAGGCTGGACTGGAGGCTTGGGCTGTGGACATTCTTGGATGGGGCTTCTCGGATCTAGGTATGATCCTTCTTTGCATGTCGTTGGTTTTTGTTTCATGGATTTGCTTGACACACACAGGTGTAAGTTGCAACACCTGAATGTTTCTGGATATTGTCTCATAGAGAAACGGCCACCGGGTGATGTAGCCTCCAAACGGGAGCATCTTTACCAGGTACATTATGTGTAGAAAATATTACTGCTGGTGTGCTTGTCGTTAATTTTTCATGTCATGAATTCACTTCCCACTTCCTAGTTGCTAGGCTCTGTTATGGCAACCAGTGTCTCTTGACTCTCTGTTTAAGCACCACATCACAACATAAGTTGCTTGTGATGTGGATATTTTGTTCAGAACATGTTTGTAAGTACTGAAGTCTTAGCCATGTCCACAAACTCATGCTTCACCTCAAAACAAGGACTGGATTGTCCAGAGTAGTACGATGTTACTATGCTTCTTTTTGGTCCGTTTGGAACGTGGGTATTTTACATGATATGTTCAGTTGTTTAAAAGCCAGTTCTTTTGACATTGTAGTAAGGACAAAGCAAACTGTCAAGTCAGACTGATGATGCTATGTTAAGGTTACAGTGCTATGATACTTACATCTTAACAAACTTCCTTTGTAGTTCTGGAGATCCTACATTAGAAGGCCTATGGTGTTAGTTGGACCAAGTCTCGGTGCTGCTGTTGCTATTGATTTTACTGTCAACTATCCGGAAGCGGTACAAGCATTCCCAGACTTACTATTTTCTACCTATTTGTAGCAAAAAGGACTAATGACAGAAGTCCTAAGAGAGTTTTCTGTATAGCTTTATGTGAAGCAAAATATATCTACTTTTCAGCAATTAAACTTTTAAGAAACACTACAACCTGAGAATTTTGTAATATGAGAAGATAAATTGATCTTGTTCATCACAGGTGTCAAAACTGATCTTCATTAGTGCAAGTGTATATGCTGAGGGCACAAGAGATATGACAAGAATGCCTAGATTCGTTCCATATGCTGGGGTGAGTATCGAGTTGTTTACTGAGCTGCATGCTATGCCTTATTTAATACAGAATGCTTCCGCATGTGGCATTTTTTTTATTGATGACTTTGCTGTGGCATCCTTATTTTTTGTTTCCTTATGCCAATATTACTTTATAGTTTCAAGTATGTTGTCTTTTCTTGATGATGGATATGGCTGTCCTCCAGAATCCTTTATGTTAGCATTATTGGTAAAAGAATGGAACAAATCAATATTGTTACATGTGTTTTTCTTGGTTCGATTACACTTGACTTCTTCTTTTTGCCCTCAGGTTTTTCTACTGAAGAGTCTCCCACTGCGGTATTTTGCTACTCTTTTGGCGTTTTATAAAATTCCAGGTGGTCCAGCTGGATTGTTTGACTGGGTGCAAGTAAGCGTCTATTGACTCTATAAAATTGTGCAAAGGCAACAATTACGTCCTGGTTGTGAGTCTGTTAATTTTCCTCAACTGGATTTATACTCGTATCTTCCAATAAATCTGCTTTCTCCATATTTTTCAAGAAACTGACATTGTCACTAAAATTGGTTACAGGCATTTGAAAATTTTGGCACTTCAAAATGGCAAAAAATAATTGTCCAATTTATCTTCACATATGCTGTAAAATTTCACTTTGTACCAAAAAGTCATATATTCCTGCCTGCACAATTTTGCTTCTGTCGATACTGCTTACAACTGTGCACAAACATTGCCATGAGTTATTCATACATTTTGTCAACAAGGAAGTTATTTCATTTTATTGTATTTTTCTTTTTCAGATTGGCCGTCTACACTGCCTACTTCCTTGGTGGGAAGATGCTCTTGTTGATTTTATGATGAATGGGGGTTATAATGTCCTAAACCAAATAAATCAGGTTCTTATCTATTAAATATCCAAATTACTTTGTTTTCACTGTTCAAGAGACCTCATATTTTTTTATTGATTTTGCTGTCTTCTTTCAATCCACAATGCTGTTACAGCTGCAACCTTTGCTGCAGAAAAAATGCTTGATAGTTGATGATAACTACTTTTCCTAGGACACATCTAAATACTCACAGCGTTTGTGTTCATAGAAGTTACTATCAGTGCATAATAATCTTTAAGATCACTGGCATAATGATAGGGAGGATAGCGTGACCTTTCTAGATCACATTCTGGCATGACGTAATGAAATTTGCTGGGTATCATTAGTGAAATTCTAATGATACTTCTGTTTCATGTACAGGTAAAGCATAAATGCCTGATTTTATGGGGAGAGGAGGATGGAATCATTAGCAACAAACAAGCATATGTAAGGTTTTTTTTTGAACACGAGGACATGCTATACATGACCTAGTTTTTCAATATATGAATATAAATGCCATGCTTTTTAATCTGTTACTGGCCATTCAAGGGAACCGGAAGAGCACTAAATTCCATGTCAACTTGCTGGCAGTATAAACTGGCATTTGTACATTCTCTTCCCGTTACTATATGTTCATTGTCTTTGTTTGTGTACGCTGCAGAGGTTGCACCAGGAACTCCCAGATGCAATTTTAAGGCAGGTACGGGAGTGTGGTCATATTCCTCATGTTGAAAAGCCAAGTGAAGTGTTAAAACATGTCCTTGATTTTCTCGGAACTGAGAGGAGGCCAGAAAAGGCAGAGCAGGGTTCTTCCTTACCATCGACAGTTGGGTATGTACCATCCTGCTGCATATATCACTGTGTGTGTCCTCATGAATGCTCATCATATCAATGCATTTGGCTTATTCATCCTGATGTCCCACCAATCTGCTACAGGACCTGCTGAAACAGAATTGGATCCTTAAGGCTAGGGTGTAGATGGTACATGTACACTGTTGGCTCAATGATGCACATGTGAGTCGGTCGATATGCTTGGGAAGTTGCAATGCTCTGTCCATGCTGTTCGACTCAGAAGATGCTTCACAGTAAAGTTGGAATTTGTTCTCAGCACATGTTCTGTCTTCTGCAAAAGGGGGGACAATAATCCTGTTGGAGGTGGTTCCGAGGCTGTGCCACGGAGATGGAAGAATTGGCATAGGAACATATTGAGCAGGACATCTCTGCTGATCAGCTGCTACTCACTTTTAGGTTGTTAGTCAGATAGTGTTGCAAAGATGTATCATTCCTTCCTCTGTTCTTTCTCGCTGAACATGTTGAATAAACTTCAAGTATGTTTAAGACTGTCTAGACTGGGAATATGAAAGCTATGTTTATCTTTGGGCGAAATTTGATACAAGACACTCAAGATTGGTGGTCTTGTTAGAGAATACTCCTAAAACTTGGGTTTGCTATGCGAGATGCTGAAAGTTTGTGATAATTTTCTAGCAGGCACTTGCATATTGCCCCATCGGTTGAAGAGACATAAACACATGAAAATATACACTTGCATACACTAAAATATTTTGCCCTCTGTTTTCTTGTCCCATTCTATGCTTCATACTACTATATGGAGCGTATGCACAAAGGGCCCAAGGTCCATCAGCCAACACCCACACTACACACGCTTGCTCCATCTATCTCTCGCCCTACAGTCAAATCATTGTCTTCTTCCTTTGCATCATGCCCGCACGTTTAGGCTTGTACTCCTAACTTATGGGACCAGCCGAAGAAAATAAATAGGGGTTCCAGAAGCTAGCAAGACTGGCCTATCAGCCTCAGGATGGGCATATGCGGAAAATACGCCAAATGGCATACTCCCTCCATCCCAAAATATTTGGCGCCGTTGACCTTTTTAAAAATGTTTGACCATTTGTCTTATTTAAAAAATTTAAGTAATTATTAATTCTTTTCGTATCATTTGATTTATCGTTAAATATACTTTTATTTATACATATAGTTTTACACATTTCATAAAAGTTTTTGAATAAGACGGAACGGTCAAACATGTTTAAAAAAGTCAACGATGTCAAACATTTAGGGAAGGAGGGAGTATTAGTGAAAAAAGTAATTTGTGATTAAAATTTTTACATTTATGTTTTTAAATGACAATGTTTGCTGCATCAGGGGGCCACCAGCATACTCCCTGCTCGGCCTAAACACCAAAGAAAAGGATGTCTTAAGTTTTCATAAGTGTCCCGATGGTAAAATACCATTCAAATGGTAAAATATCATTTGAGTGGTAAAAAGAGAAACTACCTTTCGAGTGAAAAAGTACCATTCGAGTGGGAAATTACCATTCGAGTAAGTTTATATTGTTAAAGCAAATCGTCTCTTTTAAGTGCATTCCTAACCAATGACAGGTACAATATCAAGAGCCAAGCAGGTGGAAAAGAGTGTTCGAACACCTAAGATAGAAAAGACGACCCAAGTTGGAAAACACTACTCGAGCAATGAAGATGCCAAAAGAAGATTCCATGGGGACCACTCTCACTCACTCCGGCCAGCTGGCACCAAAAGACCATAATGACCTTTCAAATGTACCAGATTGCCTCTAGAGTTGTTGACATAGCAAGAACATAATTGTAAACTCACAAAGGCCCATGGGAGGCAAAGTTATAATATCACATGTACGGCTGTGGACTATATAAACCAGCCAAAAGCCTATAGCAAGACAAGACATAATTCAATAGAGAAATATTCACCATAAAAGTTATGCATTTTGTGTTCGGGCTCATTTTCCAGGATAGACGGGAAAAGGAACTTTCCCGTTTATCTCCAAACTTGTCCATGACCTAAGGTTACGACAATGTTGTAAAAGAAACTATGATAAAAAAAACTCAAGAAAACAACTTTAAAATTAAGTTAAAAAATTTAAATTTTGGCATTGGCATATGCTGATTGGGCCAAAAATGAGAGCCTATTTGAAAGAGTTTCCAGTAGCTAGAGTTTCATTCAGAAAACCACCAATCGTGTTTGGCCAAAAACAAGAAAGGGCCAGGCCACCTAAACTGCACTGCACTGAAGGACAGGAGGAGAAAGGAATAGAGGATCGGAGGATGAGCACGGTGTGCGTCACCGGAGGCGCCGGCCACATTGCGACATGGCTCATCAACAAGCTGCTGTGCAGAGGCTGCGTCGTGCATGCAACCCTGAGGAATCTTGGTAATAATCTTCTTCCCCATCCCCACAGCTCGCAACCTCGCTGAATTTCCAGTTTGCAGCATATGAAGCCATCCGCCATTAATTCGGTCATGATATTGTTTTCAAGATAATATAAACTTTATTGAACTCAGCCAATTACATTAAGATGATACAATCGTACTGAGATCACGGTCTTATGGATGGAGGGGATGAGAAGAAGACGAATCTGCTGATGAGGATGCCCGGTGCCGAGGAGCGGCTGGTGCTGTTCGAGGCGGACATGTACGACGCGGCCACCTTCGAGCCGGCCATCGCCGGCTGCGACTTCGTCTTCCTCATCGCCACCCCGATCCATCACGACCCTCGCAGCACCAAGGTACACACAACAACAAATGCATTTAGGCAGCTCATCATCGAGATTCGAGAGGCTTATATATAGAGTCCCGCTCCGGTGCTTTCTACCTGGAGTAGAAAGCAATCTGAGCCGTTGATCATATTTAGTTAGAGGGTTGAGATTTAGTTCTACTCCCACCATAATTAATAGTAGTAGAAATTTGGAAGGGCATATTTGTCCAGAATAATAATTCGCGTAGGGGTATTATCGTAGTTTATCAGTATCTAACTCACCCTCTCCCTGCGCCAACCCGGGCCACTACATCGCACTCGTCACCCTCCGCGTCGCCGAGGAGATGCGGCCACCGCCGCCGCCACCGCCGGCGCGGGCCGAGCAGCACGGCACAGGCACGGTGCGGGTGACGCGGGTGAAGCTGCTCAAGCCACGGGACGCGCTGCTCCTCGGCCAGGCCTACCGCCTCATCACCGTCGACGAGGTCACCAGGGCGCTGCATGCGAAGGAGAAGTCGAGGAGGGCGGCAGCGCAGCATTACCTAGAATCCAAGCCCGCCGGCGCCGCCGGTGTTAGGATCAATTCTGGCGGCGACGACCACACGCGGCCTATTAGGCCTGCACATTTATATATTGTTTCCTGCAGATGCAGTTGGTAGTAAGACAAGTGCTAGAAATTTGTCAAGTTAGGTGCCAACACCTGAACTTGAGTTCCCCTGCAATGAACAAGGTTTGGTCGTTGAAGAACTGAAATGATTGACAGAACAGATCATCAAAGGGAAACTGGAGCATCATGCCATGTTTGTACATGGCTGCAAATATGTTCTGTTGGGGATAACTACCCTAACTTGAATTTATTTTCCTTTCTTGATGAATCCTACTCTCTCATGTCCCAAACACAACTTTGATGTCCTAAATTATAATGCTATCAGGAAAGCAAGTGCTTTTCGAGCCAAACCTACTCATAGAATTTCCATGTATCACCCATTTATAAACACCAATCCTAAAAAGTTTTAGATGCTTGGCTAGCACATCTGTCCAAGACAACATGGGTTTATGGCTGTACAACAAAGCACCAGAAAAAAAAAATCAACCATTGCTGGTTGGTTGGCCGATACAGATTTCAGTAGGTAGAATGCTAGAATATAAAAGAAAGAGCCCCAAATTCCATGGCAGAGAGCCACACAAATCAACGCACGTGCACCACGGAGGAGTGGTCCTTCTCCTGGAGCTTGGAGATGACGAACATGTACAGGTCGCGCACGCGGCGAGGCGCTGGTAGGGCACGCCGGCCGCGGTCACCGCTTCTGCTTCCTTCGCGTCGAGGGACGTCCGATGTGTGCAAGCAGAGCGAAACGATTTTCCCCTTCAATCAACGCTAGCAGCGCCACCGCCGCCTGCCGGGAGTAGCGATAACCCTTTTTTTTAGGAGTAGCGATCGGACTTGATGCGAGCGATCGAGACAGAGAAATATCCCATGCCAAAATTACCCCTAATCTGTATTAAGAGATTACTAATCTACCCTTTAAAATAAAGGGTCGAGATTAATTCTACTTGTAGTAGAATACTTTAAGTAGAGAGCACCGGATAGTGGACTATTGAGTGCTCTGTTTTAGATTAAACTTTACACTACCAGATGACAATAATTAAGATGAGAGGTTGATTCGCATGTTTTTGTTTTGCAGTACAAGAACACCACCGAAGCGGCCGTGGACGCGACGCGCATCATCCTGCAGCAATGCGAGCGATCAAAGACGGTGAAGCGGATCATCCACACGGCCTCCGTCACCGCCGCCTCGCCGCTCCGGGAGGACGGCGGCGGCGGTGGCTACAAGGACTTCATCAATGACTGCTGCTGGACTCCTCTCAACTTCTCCCACCGTTACAGCAATGCCCTGCTGGATGTAATCATCTAATCCAGGCATTTTTCATACGTTTTGGGTTTTGGTCTAAGAGAAACTTCTTCATCAAATTTACAGTAAAACATAGTGTAGCATCTACAACAACCAAATTACAAATTAGTTTCGTTAAATTCACCGTTAAATATACTTTTATATATGTTTTTTAAAAAATGCTGGTATGTTTTTCTATGAACTACTAGTAAAATCTAAAACGACTTTGGACACTGTGTGGCGACGAATTCTACTTTGATTCGTTTGTAGGCGTATCTCTCATCCAAGACCCTCTCCGAGAAGGAGCTGCTGCGTTACAACGAGTCGGAGAGGCCGGCATTCGAGGTGGTGACCTTGGCGTGCGCGCTCGTCGGCGGCGATAGCATCCAGCCCTACCACACGCTGAGCATGCATCCCGGTGATCGTGTCGCCGCTCACCGGCCGTGAGCTCTCCCATGGCGTCCTCAAGTTCAAAAAGGCCTCGCTGGGCTCCGTGCCGCTGGTGCACGTCGACGACGTCTGCGAGGCGCACATCTTCTGCATGGAGCAGCCGTCCATCGCCGGCCGCTTCCTCTTCGCCGCCGGGTACCCCAATATGCAGGACTACGTCGATCACTTTGCTGCTAAGTACCCGGAGATCGAGATGAAGCTCAAAGAGTATGTATTTAGAATCTCGATTGATGATTATTAAATTGATCTCCTTGATCCTTTTTAAGTAATATAACATGTATTGTGTTTGCTCGTGTGATTACGTAGGGTGGTAGGGGAAGGCGTGAGGGTGAAAGTGGATACAAACAAACTTGTGGATTTGGGGTTCAAGTACAAATATGAAGTGGATGAGACACTGGATCATAGCGTGGAATACACTAAGAGGATGGGATTACTTTAAAGAAATTCTACATAACGGTATATACCTTTATAATGAATAGCCGATGTCATCGTGGTACCTAAGTACCAAATCTGGTACTTATATGGCATCATGTCTGGTAGGAGGTATCAGATCCGATATCTATCTAGTATCTACGATATTGTGCTGATGTTTTGCTAATGTTAGTATACATTAGCTATTTCGTTGGAACGATATACCGTTGTGCAGTCTTCCGCTTGCTTTAATGTATAGCACCTTATCTTTTTTTTTTCAAATAGAAATTGTTTACATTGTTTATCTATGCCGTATAAGACGCATGCCAATGAATTTGTTGTTACCGAATGAAAAAATATGTGAGGACTAATGCCAAGTTGGCAACATACTCACTTATGCTTTGAGACCTACCAGCCACGTGTTGTTGGCCAGGACCAAATGTGTAGGGCTGTGTTCTATTTCAATAACGGTACTATTGGACATTTGGACTATTGATTGGGAGATGTATTTTAGTAGCTCTAGTGGACGTTCTGTTTATTGTACGCCAACTAGATAGTTACAAAAAATTTTCAAAAAAATTAACAAGATAGATCAATATGTAATATATCACCTCACAAACATGCAAGTTCAAATTCAACTTCTACAAGTTGTAACAAAAACAACAAATTTAATTATATATATATATATATTAATTTGAGTTATGTTTGTTATTTGTGTTACAATTTGTAGAAGTTAAATTTTAATTTGCATGTTTGTGGATTGATATATTACATATTGATCTATCTTGTTTGTATTTTTTTATTTTTTTTCATAAACGTTTAGATGACATGTAATAAATGGGTGGATGTCCACATCCACTCGAGATGTTAAAACAGTTTCCCTATTGATTGTGCTCTTGATTCATTGTTCAGCTGTTCAGTTGTCTATTCGAAACACCGATGGGCAATGAACTGGAGTATTATTATTGCTCAAGTGTGTCGTGCGTAACTAATGTGCTACTACGTCCTTGTCTGCTGAACAGTCCGATCCAATGATCTTGATCCATCTCTGGTAATATATATCATGACATCATCCCCGCCGCCTCGAGCTGAATTACCCGGAGTCCCATGCATCCATCCGTGGTCCGTGGATCGCATCTGCTCCACCAACGGGCTCCTGCTCCCCGGGGCTGGAATACGTGCCACAAAGAGGAGGGAAAAGGAAAGAGTCCGACTCGCTCAACTTGGTCGCAATTTGATTCATATTTCTTAACCATAACATTGGGTATAACGATTCCTCCAACTATTATAATCATGTAAAACAATTCCGTCGACTATTATGATGGTGGTTTTTTTTTTCTGACATAGATTTTACGTCGTAGCTTGGTTATTAGAAAAAATGAAATAAAGTAGGGTAATCTTCTCTCTCTTCTTCCCTCTCTACCCCCTCTCTCTAACTCTCTCCCTTGTCTTCTTCTCGGAGCCGAGAGCCTAAGAGGCTTACATTGTCGGCAACTACACGCCGCTGACAGCCCCTACTACCAATGGCCACAACGACACAATGGTGGCGGCAGCAACGATGGCATCATCTTCATCCCATCTACCAACATTAACAAGAGACACTTCACCCTCGACTTCGTCCTGACACCAACTCGTGGCAGCTCGTTGACGATGTCTCTAGCGTGGCCTCTCCATCTTGTCCACGGTGCCTCCGACACCAAGTCACCAAGAAGATGACTGGGTGGATGCAGCATTGCTTCCTTGACGTCATGGTGTGTGCCGAAGAGGAGCCACTAGATGAGCACCTCCCTAGTTGAAGATGACTGGGTGGATGCAGCATTGCTTCCTTGACGTCATGGTGTGTGCCGAAGAGGAGCCACTAGATGAGCACCTCCCTAGTTGAAGAGGAGGGGAGTGCTCAGGGTCAGCAGCGGCCACTCTCCTTCGTTGTTGCGTCGTCCGCAAGGAGAGGGGACAGTGGGGCCTCCTGGTCACTCAAGCTCCATTACACCGGGTTCGAGACCTCTCGTGGCGCAGATGGCATAATATAGGAGGAGGATCCGGTGGTGGTAGTAGTGGTCCTAGAGATTACACCTGGGGGGCGGGAGGGAAGGGAGGATCGCTAGTGCTGGAGTCAGCGTGGGGTGACACGATCTCGAGCCTGGTGGCCACCGTCGTCGGCCCGCTTCCTGTCCTGAGTCACCGTTAGAAAATAAGCAGCAACAGAATGACGCCCTTCCTTGCGTCCGATGGCCATGGCACCCCAATCCCCTCAGAGAGAGGAGAGGGAGGGACAAAAGAGGGGGAGGAACCGCTGGTGCCCTCCCAGCTCCCGACTCGCTACCGCCCTCCTAGAAGACAAAACTGCCGCTAGAAGCGTGATGGGGAGAAAGAGAAAGGGAGGAAATAAAAAGAGGAGAGAGATGAGGACTTACATATGGGTCATACAATTTTTTTATTTTTACTTTTTTTTCTAATTATAATGCCATGTAGGATAAATACCACGTTAACATGCGCCACGCAAGATAAAACTATCATGCAAACCACCTGGGAAGATAAATTGAACTGATATTGATAGTTGAGGGAGTCGTTATACCGGTTTTTACGGCTGAGGGATACGAATTAGATCTATATTATTAGGGACCCATATTAGACTTTTTCCTAGGATAAACTCCCCCGGCCCACAACTCCGCAGGTGAACGCCGTGCGTGCAAGCGGCAGTGTGCAGGGGCCTGGCCGCCCGGGTTGCTCGCGTCGAATGGCAGGGTTAAAGGCCTGTTTGGTTGCTGCCCTGAGGGCCCTTTCCACCTGCCTGGCCTGATCCACCTTAGGCGTGCAATTAGCCTCGTCCAAGCGACCAAAATAGGTGGCCTGAGCTCCAGGCGGCAGCATCGATCGGTTGATAATCACCGTCGTAATGCCTGACGAGAATACGCGATGATGCAAACCACCACCGCCTCCTTGCTGGATTCCACAATCGTCGTATTGTGTTTGGTCCGTGCGATGCAATCAGAAGAAACTTTTTTTTAGGGTTTCCAATCAGAAGGAATGATCTATAGATTAATGCTGTCTAATGGGAAGTGTTATAAACACTTTTTTACTCAAAGCACACTGTTTTGCGCCTACTAATTTTCCTCAGGCACGTTTAGTTCAGGACTTCAACCAAACAACCAACTCAAGGATGCCCCATCAGGCAACAAGCACCAAAATTTCAGGGAACTCTCAGGCGCCACTTTTCCTCAGGCAAGTAGCTCACGGTAGCAACCAAACAGTCTCTGCCGCGACAACACCCGCGCCCCCGCCACGCTAGCTGCTACTCCCTCCGTCCCACAGTACAAGAGATTTTGAGTTTTCGCTTGAAACGTTTGACCACTCGTCTTATTCAAATTCTTTTTGCAAATATATAAAACGAAAAGTTATGCTTAAAATACTGTAGATAATAAAGTAAATCATAAATAAAATAAATAATAATTTTAAAAAAATTTAAATAAGACGAGTGGTCAAACGTTGTAAGCACAAACTCAAAATCCCGAGTACGTACTACGACTACGACCCCAGCGCCTGACTCCGATGCCGGTAGCCTAGAACAGATCCAGCCATACGTACATGCAGCAGAATTTGTTTCGAATTTATTCATATTTTTTTTAAAAAAAGAAACAGCTGAGTTTGCTGTAATATAGAGTAATGATCTCTTTTTTGGGTGAAGATTATTTTAATTTTATTATTGTTATATAATTTAGTTAAGGTGAAATTCACTGTGAGGATTCGTTTGGATATATATTTTTCTAGAAAATCATGAGCTACAATTGGTAGTTCGATCATTTCAAATTAACATGCGAGTTTTTTTTGAAGAAATTTCTTATACAACTTCTTTTGTATTTCCAAAACCAAAATAAACTTAAAACCCAACTCAAATACGAATTTGTATTTTCAAAAGCGAACGAACTTAAAAACTGACTCATATGCGGATAACATATTAAAGTACCGGAAAAAACATTTTTAATTTTTATAATAGTATAAAGATAGAGATAGAGATAGCGATAGAGATACAGATAAGAATAAAAAAAGCTTAGTTTGGAGTGCGGTGATTTTCTCAATGGACACAAGTTGACCAGAGGCGGTGGGCTGCTAGTTTGGCAGTATTATGCATAAATACAAGAAGCATGTCTTGAGAAACAGGGCGTTGCTTGTTGGCGCGCCAGCTGCTCCGGCCCAGAAAAGCCCACCAGCCTATTTTTTTTCGCGATTTGTTTTTTCTTTTTATTTTGTGATTTTTTTTCTTTTTTCTGATTATTTCTTTTAATCTTTAGCGCACTTATTTTTTTAAAATGTTTTGAGTTGAAAGTTTTTAAATCTTAACTTGAAAAATTTTTAAATCTGATTTGAAAGTATTCAAATCTCGAGTTGAAAGTTTTCGAATTTGAGTTGAATATTTTCAAATCTCGAGTTGAAAGTTTTCGAATTTGAGTTGAATATTTTCAAATCTCGAGTCGAAAGTTTTTAATCGGAATCGAAAGTTTTCATATTTTTTTAAATCTAACTTGAAAGTTTCAATCGAAAGTTTTCATATTTTTTTAAATCTAACTTGAAAGTTTCAATCGGTTAGTAGAAAAAATCTTCCGGAAAAAAGAAAATCATATCTTAATTACTATCATTATTTACTAATAACTTAGTTAGTTAGGCTAAACTATCCGAAAACGGTCGCCACCAACGCGTGCGCGTTAGCTTTTCCGTGAGAAACACACATTGCAACGCCTGCGAGGGCCGTTTCCACGCCACATGCATTTTGTTTCTTCCACGTTCAAGATACGGACTCCTAGGACGAACAAAACGTATTTTTTTTTTCTTATTAAAACCATTAACATCTGTATCAAGCCCGGTCTTAGTTTTTTCTCTATTTAAACCGGGCCGAGAGAGTCACAGACACCACCATATTTGACTGGACTGGAGGAAGAAGAGATCGAACAACAACAATCGATCGAGGAGAGGTCGTGTGACACGATGAGCAGCAGCAGGCCGGTGTGCGTCACCGGTGGCAGCGGCTACATCGCGACGTGCCTCATCAAGAAGCTGCTGCAGCGAGGCTGCGGCGTGCATGCGACCTTGAGAAATCTCGGTACATCTTACCCATCTCTTCCTCACTTTCTTTCCAAATTCTTGTTGATTCATTCATGGATGCATGCATGGTTGGTGATCATGCATATATCTGACGACAGGAGATGAGAAGAAGACGGCGCTGCTGAGGAGGATGCCCGGCGCGGCGGAGCGGCTGGTGCTGTTCGAGGCGGACATGTACGACGCCGCCACCTTCGAGCCCGCCATCGCCGGCTGCGAGTTCGTCTTCCTCCTCGCCACCCCGCTAATTCATGATCCGCTTAGCACCAAGGTAACCCACGCACGCAGTGCACACTGTCTGGAACTGAAAAAGAGAAAAAAAAAAGGAAAGGAAAGGAAAGTTAAGTTTATCATGCAGCACTCTGGTAGATACAGATGCAGAGGCAGGGTGTAATTTTATTTCATAATAATGGATCCTTCCTTTTTAAAAAAAAAAATTAAATGCAGAAGCCTGGAATTAATAAACTCCAACGATGGCCTGAGTTTAAGATGGATATATCATGGATTATTTGAGTGTTCTGTTTTTTTTTAGAATTCACTACTACTAGTTCTAGGCATGCAGTCAGTAGCAGCACTAGGTGCATTGTGCAACAACAATTAGCAGGATGAGAGGTTGCTGTGTTTGTAAGTTTGTTAATTGTTAATTATGTTTTTATATTATTGCAGTACAAGAACACCACCGAGGCGGCTGTGGACGCGATGCACATCATCCTGCAGCAATGCGAGCGGTCAAAGACGGTGCGGCGCGTCATCCACACGGCCTCCGTCACCGCCGCGTCACCGCTCAGGGAGGACGGCGAGGGGTACAAGGACTTCATCAACGAGTCATGCTGGACTCCTCTTGATCTCTCCAACCGCTATAGCAACGTCATGATGGATGTAATCAGCTACCCATTCTCCGTCAAAAAATATATGTTCACATATCTATCTATCTATCTATCTATCTATCTATCTATCTATCAAGGAGCGTATCCATCCTGCAACTAGTATATTACGAACATCATGCACAACAGCTATAACAAATTAAATGTTATCAATTTCTTTGAAAAGTTTGCACATACTTTTAATAGTACTACACATATATGTAAATTATTTTCAAATCCATTATATTTTAGTGATAAGAAATAAAAAGAATTCTAGTAATTTTAAAAGTATAAGTAATCCCTCCATTTCATATTATAAGTTATTTTGACTTTTTTCTTTTGGTCAAACTTATTTAAGATTTGATTAAGTTTATAAAAAAATAGCTACATCTATCACACTAAATTAGTTTCAATAAGTATGACATTTAATATATTTTGAAAGAATAGTTCTTTTGTGTCGAAAATACTTGAAAATGTTTGAATGGAAAAAAAAATCAAAACAACTTACGGTATGAAATACAGGGAGTATATTTGAATATTGTCTTATCTATCTATCTATCTATACTTAATTATAATTTGATACTGGGAGAGATTTTGCACGCTAAAAAAGTTCTGGTTATTTCTTAGATAGATCATGTTATTATGAACATAGATCTTATTGACAATTGTACACTAGCTTGAGTTGTAAATTTTCAAACTGAATCTCTCATACATGCGGTTCAAATATGAGAAATGATAGATCATCACATGAATTGTGCTTTTGTAGGCTTATGTTTCATCCAAGACACTCACAGAGAAGCTACTGCTGAGGTACAACGAGTCCGAGAGCAGGGCGTTCGAGGTGGTCACCCTGACATGCGCGCTCATCGGCGGCGACACCGACACCACGCAGCTCTATCACTCGCTAAGCATCCCGCTGATCGTGTCGCCGCTCACCGGCCAGGAGCTCTACCACGGCGGCCTCAAGTCCCTGCAAGCGCTGCTGGGTTCTGTGCCACTGGCGCACATAGACGACATATGCGAGGCACACATCTTCTGCATGGAGCAGCAACCATCCATCGCCGGCCGATTTCTCTGCGCCGTTGGGTACCCCAACATGCAGGACTATGTCGACCGTTTCGCTGTCAAGTACCCGGAGATCGCGATAAAGCTTCAAGGGTAAGTGCATTGTTGATTTGTTCTCTCGATCTTATGTTTTCTTTATAGGATATATGAATGTGTCATGTATGTACCGTACTTCCTCCGTTTCACAATGTAAGTTATTCTAGCTTTTTTCACATTTATATTGATTTTAATGAATCTAGACATATATATGAATCTAGACTCATTAATATTAGTATGAATGTGGAAAAAGTTAGAATGACTTACATTGTGAAACGGAGGGGGTAGATCTTATATCTGTTTGTTTGTGTGGTCTGTGTTAGGGTGATTGGGAAGGATGTGAGGGTGAAAGCGGATACAAACAAGCTTGGGGATTTGGGGTTCAAGTACAAGTTTACGGTGGAGGAGACGTTGGACAGCAGCGTGGAATGTGCCAAGAGGCTGGGATTACTTTGAGCGTGCCAAGCAGTATAATTTCTGTCCTAATGTCTGTATTTGTTCCGGCCCTTTTACTCCAACCGTATCTAAGAAATGTACCCTAAAGCTATCAGAACATTGTTCATCGATAATATTACCTCCGTTTCAGGTTACAAGACGTTTTGACTTTAGTCAAAGTCAAACTGCTTCAAGTTTAACTAAGTTTGTAGAAAAAATAATAACATTTTTAACCCAAGACAAATTTATTATGAAAATATATTCAATTATTGATTTAATAAAACTAATTTGGTACTAGTATTACAAATATTACTATATTTTTCTATAAACTTAGTCAAATTTAAATCAGTTTGACTTTAACCAAAATCAAAACGTCTTACAACCTGAAACGGAGGGACTACCATATATGCGCTCGACAGCTAGAGCCATCGCATTTGCCATCTTGTCATTTGACAATGTCATTTGCTGGAGCCTGGAGGCCCTTCCACTCCACCAACCGTCTGTCTATTTCTCCTTTTTTTTTTTCAGGCCTCATCTTTTTCTTATGCTTATACTTATCAGGTAAAATTTAAATTTTCAACCTTAAATTTGGAGCTGATTTTGTGCTAAGAACACACGTATATAAGTTTTATTCACAAAATACTTTTCGTTTGTAAAAACGATGGCTCCGTTCCGTGCATGCTTCTCCCACCGTGCGCTCCGGCGCCGCAAAGCCGAATTGGCCAGAGTCCTGTCCATCTCTGGATTTTTTTTATAGTTTTTGTACTTTTTATTTTTTTTATTTTGAAATAAACTCTTTTAAAAACTTATTTTTAACATGCAAACCTTTTGTCTACGCCAGACGCCCGGCGTGATAAAAAAACACTTACACACCACTTGCAATGGGCGTAACAGTTTTATCGAGCAGCGTGACCAAAGATTGTTTTCACGCCAACGAGACCAGTGTGAAAGTATTGTGTTGTGACGCCAATTTGCTTGACATGTGCAAAAGGTTCAGATGTTAAAAATAAGTTTCACAAGAGTTTGATTTCAAAATTAAAAAGATTTTTAAAATAAAAAAACTACTTAAAAAATAAGTAAGGCTTCCGTAAATATTTTCGTACGTCATTAAGCGTGGGTCCACATGATATTTCGTCGCTAATCACGATTCGGAAGCTGACAGCGATCTCTTAAGCCCGCAAATAAAAGAGAAAAAAAAAAGGAGAAAGCCCATCCAAAGCAGATCGGATTTGTGGATTAGTGGAGAAATATTGCAGCCCATCAAAAGCAACAGCAGGCCGGCCCAGAAAAAAGCAGTCGTAGCCACCAGCGAGCCCACCGAGCAGAGGAGCTACAGCCCAGCACAAGCAGGAATAAAGTTTGGACTCATGCCTACCAGGTATCGGATAAAAAAAAGATTTTATAACTTAAAAACATGTAATCACCACAAAATTTAAATGAACTATTTACCAACAAAATAAATTATTTTTAAAAAATAAAAAACAATCATATGTGTCTTTCTTTTTAAAAAACATGTAATCACCAACAAAATGACTCGTGTTTACATCCGGATTTTTTTCCCTCATCAATTTCTCATTCGCCGTAGGACATCTAACCACATCACTTTTTTTCCATTCATTGTATGATTTATTCTATTGTTTAGAGTGAAAGTTATTCTACGATACACCACTTCTTTTTCTTTCCATTGATTGTACCATTTCCTTCTGATTTTTTGAGTGAGTGATTATGCAATTGGAGTGCAGTGAGGTTGATCTGATAACTAGCAAAAAATATATCTTGTACTATGGCTACTCTTTACAATATGAAAAAAGTTTATCAATACCGAGTACCATAAAATAATAATGTATTGCAACTGACTCATAATAATACATGACAAAAAAGTAAATATTTTTTGTGGTTCCAAATTTTAGTATCCATGTTAGTGGATTTAGAGCGGCAAATAATTATATCATGTTAGCGTCTTATTTGCACAGGAAAGGCATGATTTGACTATATAGACCTCAATTAACCTGGTGACTTTATGCTCCCACACACTAATTACTTTTTTTTTCTTCACTCAGGCAACGCATGGGCATTTTGCTAGTAAAAAAAAAATTGCATCCTTGTACCGTCGTCGTCCGCCGCTTGGTCCGCCTGCCCGCGCGAGTGGAGAAATGGCCGGCTCAATGGCTCCGCCGCGGCTGCACCTGACGGGGACCGGACGTAGCGTGTTGTCATCCACGTTTTCGGTTTGAAAGATTGGTTAATGATCAACAATTTGAAAATGAATTTGGAGGTCTAACAATCAACAGTGTTCACTTGATATATTGTTCAATGATCAGCATGGCCAGGATAGAGATGTTTTTTGAAATTTTCTGTAACAGCGAAATGTGTCGGGAATACACATCTTGTTTTTCAAACATGAACCTCGTTTCTCCAGGCCATGATAGATGTATGCTAGCTGCGGCATGTTTGTCCTGGGACGGAATTCTCGAATCTGTTCAAAAAAAATTTAACTTTTAATGAATTGGTACAGACACGGTGATCCGATTTTTTTTTTCTAAATCTGAAATATGGTTTCAAGAAATTCTGGTTTGGTGTAGCGATGGTATGAATGCAAACCTGTGGTCAGAGATCGGATCAGATATCGCACAACTAGTTTGGTAAGTATAAATGCAAATCGTGGCACATGTGGCCACAAAAAAAGGCTGTCCCCGCCGAACACTCACATTGTTTAGAGCATGTAAAACGGTTTTTATCAGTGGTCTCTATATTGCTATGCAAATAAATTTGATGACATGGATGAAAGAGAAAGGAGGAAAGAGAAATATGATTGTTATGCATGACAGCGGCTCAGAGTTGACTCTTAGCATTTATTTATTAGAGCAAATTTCGTTGCATGGTGGTGAAAGAAATGAAAGAATAGTAAGAAAAATATTTTGATACATTAATGATTAGAGACCATATTGTCATCAACTATTGTAAGATTTTAGTCTCTAGATAATGCAGAGCTCATGCCTGACTCTACCTTTATACATGCCCTTACACTGTTTTACCATATTATAAGCTGTTTTTACTTTTTTTTTCCTAACTAATATTTTTAATTAAAAAATTGACTATTTTTATAGAAAATATAATAATATTTTTAATACAAAACAAACATATTATCAATGTATATATTCAACATAATATTTAATTAAACTAATTTAATGTTGTGAATATTAAAATTTTTATAAACTTAGTTAAATCTAAAGAAGTTTATAGCTAGAAAGAAAGTTAAAATGACTATTAAGCCCTTGTTTAGTTCCAAACATTTTCTTCAAACTTTCAACTTTTCCATCACATCGAAACTTTCCTACACACGTAAACTTCCAACTTTTCCGTCACATCGTTTCAATTTCAACCAAACTTCTAATTTTAGTGTGAACTAAACACACCTTAATATGAAATGGAGGAAGGCTGCGTTCTTTCTTCTTATGAACAGTGATTACGGAAAACGGAGCGATCCATTAGCACATGATTAATTAAGTATCTGCTATTCTTTTTAAAAAAAATGGACTAATATGATTTTTTTAAGTAACTTTCGTATAGAAACTTTTTACAGAAAAATGCACCGTTTAGTAGTTTGAAAAGCGTGCTAACGGAAAACGAGGAGGACTTTGCTGAAAAGAACGCAGCCGAAGTAGATTTTGTTTCCCAAACAACTGACACTGACACTAAGTTCAGTCTTGTACGTTATTTGCATTATTTAAACAGGTTGAGAGAGGGCCATAGAAACCAAACGCATCTGATCTGAAGGAACAGAACGAGAAGCAGAAGCGATGACGAGCAGCAGCAGCAGCAGGGTGTGCGTCACAGGAGCCAGCGGCTACATCGCGACGTGCCTCATCAAGAAGCTGCTGCAGCGAGGCTGCGTCGTGCATGCGACCTTGAGAAATCTCGGTATACTCTCCCCAATGATCTCTACTATTCTCTAGCTAGATCACCTCTATATTTTCCAAAAATCTTGTAGCCATCTGCAAGCATAAAACCAACACAATTTACTCCCTCCGTATTTTAATGTATGACGCCGTTGACTTTTTGAACAACGTTTGTTCATTCGTTTTATACAAAACTAGCAAAGGCCTTTTTTTAACCCTTTTAGAAGTCTTTGCAATACTATAACGTAGAAATCATTTGGCTAACAAAAAAGAAATCACGTGTTGATTTACTGTCTCCTTTTTTTCCTAGTGGAATAATCAACAAACACACATTCTTTATCGAACTTCTAAATGGTATTTTTTAAAAAAAACTATATATGAATTCTTTAAAAAAATGTTTTACATTCTTTTCTTTCAACTTTTATAATAGTTAATGCATTAAGTTTTTTTTAATCTTCAAACAATTATCTCAAATTATTCATGTATTTAACCATTCCGCATAAAAAGAGCGCGATAAGGGCTTATTTTATCGTTTGCTCTTCATCTTGTCATTCCAATCATATTTTGAATTTTAAAATTGATTTTTAAGTTTTTCATGGTATTTTATTTTTCAACATTGATTTCTATGTCATTAAGAACATATGTACAACATAATATAAGTGATTTTGGATGATGTAATATATCACAGTATAATAAACTAACATGGTGGCCTGCGCAGATTGCGCGGCTAGCATCATTATATTTTCTATCATATAATAGTATATATATTTTCTCATTATATTATTTAAATATATTAAAATGACAACATAATTTTAAATTTTGCAATAACTTTACAAAACTACTAATGTGTAATATTCATATTGTATTTTATATACTTGTTAGTTATTAATTATTTTTAATATCAAATTTTAGTTATTTGTAAATTATATATATTCATATATAGACTCTATACTCGTCTTTTAATATATTATTTTAATTCCGAATTTTCTGTAAATTGTATTTCTATATAGACTCTATGATCTTCTTCCAATATTATTTATTTTTATTTCTAAATTTTTATTATTTCTAATTGTATTTCTATGTGGACTCTAAACTCATCTTTCAATATTCTTTAATTTTTAATTTCGAATTTCAGTTACGTCTAAATTGTATTCCTATATTGACTTTAAACTCTTCTTCCCATATTTTTCTTAATTTCGAATTTTAGTTATTTGTAAATTGTATTTTTATACGGACTCTAAACTCTACTTTTAATTTCATTATGTTTATTCCAAATTTTAGTTAGTTTTAAATTCCTATATGGACTCTATACTCTACTTCTAATATTCCTTATTTTTTTAATTTCGAATTTATTTTTTTCTTAATTGTATTTCTATATGGACTCTATACTTTACTTCTAATATTCCTTATTTTTAATTCTGAATTTCAATTATTTCCTAATTGTATTTCTATATGGACTATACTCTACTTCTAATATTTCTTATTTTTAATTCCGAATTTCAGTTATTTTCTAATTATATAGTTATTTCCTAATTGTATTTCTACATGGACTCTATACTCTACTTCTAATATTCCTTATTTTTTAATTCCGAATTTCAGTTATTTCCTAATTATATTTCTATATGGACTCTAGTCTCATCTTCTAATATTCCTTATTTTTTAATTCCGAATTTCAGTTATTTATAAATTGTATTTTTATATGGACTCTAGTCTCCTCTTCTAATATTCCTTATTTTTTGATTCCGAATTTCAGCTATTTCTAAATTGTATTTCTATATAGACTCTGTTTTTTCTTTTTCTCCGATTAATGTGAGAATTTCTAGGCCGTGAGAGCGAACGTGGAGGCTCCTTTTTCTATTCCTTTAATAATATAATAGATTTTTGTGCAAATATGAAAAATATTTATGTTATGCTTAAAGAACATTTGATGATGAATCAAGTCACAATAAAATAAATCATAATTACATAAATTTTTTGAATAAGACGAATGGTCGAACGTTAGATAAAAAGTCAACGGCGTCATACATTAAAATATGAAATATGGAGGTAATACAAATTTTCATGGCTACGTGATTTGATAGGAGATGAGAAGAAGACGGCGCCGTTGAGAGAGCTCCCTGGCGCGGCGGAGCGGCTGGTGCTGTTCGAGGCGGACATGTACGACGCCGACACCTTCGAGCCGGCCATCGCCGGCTGCGAGTTCGTCTTCCTCCTCGCCACCCCGCTGCAGCACGACCCTCGCAGTACCAAGGTACACACGGCTGCTAGCCTCGAATGCTATCGTGGAAAAGATGAAATCATCACATACCGGATCTTTTTTACATGGGCGAGATAGCAACGTCTTTGATGCCGTGACCTTCCATGGGGGAGTATCGTTTCCAGAGTCTCGTCTTGGTGGTGTTGTCGTAGGCACGACGGTGATTGGTCACGCATAGCGGAGGGTCGTTTTGGTGCTAGGTTCCTCGATCTAAATAGTTTGTGATTGTGTGGTTAGCACGTGGTTCTTGGTCGTGCACTTTGGTGTACTTCCGATCTCAACTGCTTCCGTGGATTTTTTTGTTGTAACTTTATTCTTCTTAATATATTCGGATAGCCTCCTTCGGTCTTTCGGTCTTTCTGGTGAAGAAAAATATTACACAGCTACTTAAAAATGATAATCTCGATCATTTACTTTTGTAATAATGAAAGTTAATGACTTTCAGACTCTGCACCAAGTGTCTCGATGGCTTTAGTAAATGTGAATAGAGGGATAGTGGACTATTGAGTGCTCTGTTTTAGATTAAACTTTACACTACCAGATGACAATAATTAAGATGAGAGGTTGATTCGCATGTGTTTTGTTTTGCAGTACAAGAACACCACTGAAGCCGCGGTGGACGCGATGCGCATCATCCTGCAGCAATGCGAGCGGTCAAAGACGGTGCGGCGCGTCATCCACACGGCCTCCGTCACCGCCGCGTCGCCGCTCCGGGAGGACGGCGGCGAGGGGTACAAGGACTTCATCAACGAGTCATGCTGGACTCCTCTCGATCACTCCCACAGCTACAACAACACCATGGTGGATGTACTATCTCCGTTTCACAGTGTAAGCCATTTTAGCATTTCCCATATTTATGTTAATGTTAATAAATCTAGACATATATACATCAATATAAATGTGAAAAATACTAGAATGACTTACATTGTGAAACAGAGAAAGTATGTAATTAATCAACTACGCATTTCATGTTGACAAAGTAATGAGCAAATATAAAAATTTATCTCTCCTTCAATATAAAATTTATATAGTTTAAAATTTATCTTAAATATATTATAGCTTCTCTGTCTGTTTTCATGTTTAAACTAATCACAGTAATCCCTCATTTGATTTCTCTACAAACTTTCTCATCTAATTAAATCAATACCAACTACCCCTTTTAATTTCATATCTATAGCATTGAGAAACTAGATCTAAAAGTATGTATATTTTAGGATGGAAGGAGTATATATATCATCTATATAGATATTAAAAGAATTCAACAGCATAATATATCATTATACTAGTACAATCAATTAAACAGTACACCCAAATTCGCAATCATCGTCAGGAATATTTCTTTCGTTTAACCGAGTGAAAATGGCATTTCAACATATGTTAGTAATTCTCAGACTTCTGATTGGTGATTTATTAGATACCATAGAGCAAATTAACAATGGTACATGCAGTACGTTTTTTTTTTTGATACTTCAAATGGCTTTATAGGATTATTCTTCATCCAAGACGCTCACAGAGAAGCTGCTGCTAAGGTACAACGAGTCCGAGAGCAGGGCGTTCGAGGTGGTCACCCTGGCGTGCGCGCTCGTCGGCGGCGACGCCGACACCACCCAGCTCTACCACTCGCTCAGCGTGCCGGTGATCGTGTCGCCGCTCACCGGCGACGAGTCATGCCACAACACCCTCAAGTTCTTGCAGGCCCTGATAGGTTCGGTGCCACTGGCACACATCGAGGACATCTGCGAGGCGCATATCTTCTGCGCGGAGCAGCCGTCCATCGCCGGCCGCTTCCTCTGCGCCGTTGGGTACCCCAATATGCAGGATTACGTCGATCACTTCGTCACCAAATACCCAGAGATCACGATAAAACTCAAAGAGTACGTGTCTTTGACCAGTGATTTATTTGTTATTTTTCGTTCTTTAGATAAAATTGTACTCGCTTCGTTATAAAATATAAGCATTTTAAACTATAAATCTGGATACATGTATGGTTTATATTTATAGCTAAATTTTTTTTATATTTTAGGATGAAGATATAGGATGTGCTATATAAATGTATATCATATATATGTGTGGTCTCTTTGTTAGGGTGGTAGGCAAGGACGTGAGGGTGCAAGCGGATACAAATAAGCTTGTGGATTTAGGTTTCAAGTACAAGTATGGGGTGGAGGAGACGTTGATCTGCAGCGTCGAATGCGCCAAGAGGTTGGGATTGCTCTGATACGGATGAACTGCGCACCGACCTACTACTATAATCACTAAATACCCATGCTTACAAAATATATATACCATAGTACGTTTTAATGAGGAAAAATAAATAAAATATAGTTTTGCCTCAGCTGTGTTATTTCCTGCTTTGCTGGAAGGATTGCTCACTTTGATCATGTGTATACGTGACAACACATTTATATTTGATATATATCATAGAACAATAAAAGCTATGGTGGGAAGAGGTAGGGTCACAGATTTCAATATGTCACCACGTATCACCACGGAATGAGATCCTCGGCGTTTTAAGTCAGAGGCGTACGGTACTCTAACTTGGATATTTTCAGCCGTCGCGAGTGAACGTGAACGATCACTATGCCATAGTAATATCTAAACAGTAACCTCAAACAGTGCATTTCACTGTTGCTATAGCATTAAGTCAAGACACTGTTTTCTATTGTAGTATGTGACTCAAAATATTGGGCTCCTCTGACGTACGAGCCCAAAGTCAGAGGAGCTGGATCCGTATCACCACTGCAGTAGTGCAGTCTAAGGGCCATGCTCTTTTTCACTCATTAGCTAATATACTTCCTCCATACCAAACTATAAGAACCTATGATCCGATGGGATAAGAAGTATATCTAGATTTGTAATAATATGATATATATTATCTGATCCTTAATTCTTATATTTTAGAACGGATGTAATAGATTACTATGGACATATTTCCCAAGACACTTAATGACATGATTTTTTTTTGAAAAGCTTTATATATAAAAGTTGTTTACAAATATAAAAAAACATTTTTCCAAGTTTATATTAGTTAATACTTAATTAACCATGCGCATCCAATCGGTCAAACCAATACCGTGTTTAAGTATTCCCTCCGTATAAAAATAAACCAACCCTGAATAGAATATGATATTTTCTAGTATAACGGATCTAAACAAATGTACATCTAAAACTTTTATCATACTATAAAAAGTTCTATTTTATTATAAATTTATTTAATTTGTTACGGAGGGGGTAGATATGTTTCGTGATGTGGCTGCGATCGAGCCGGCACAAACAAAAACATGTGTCGTTGATTCAAATGTTCACACTATCCTGGTGTGGCTCCCAAAACTTCAGAGCAATCAGATGGAGGCTTGAACACTATTGTGGGAAGGCACAGAAAACACGTCACGTGCACGCACGAAACACTTCGGAGAAGAGAAGAAAACGGAGGAGCGACCGACTTCGTCGCCCACACGTACGGTCGCTTGAATGCGGCCGAACGTACGGTTGCGTTTTACTATCTCTTCTTCTCTTGCGAGCTGCCACACAAATTAATGGAAAACTATTTCAAACTCTCGACGTTTGCCTATCATCCAAATAATTACGATAGAATTCAACGAGATAGTGAGATAGATTAATACTCCCCTCTATTTTTTAATAGATAACGCCGTTGACTTTTACTCACATGTTTGATCATTCGTCTTATTCAAAAGATTTTATGCAAATGTATAAGATATAAATCACACTTAAAGTACTATGAGTGATAAAACAACTCATGACAAAATAAATTATAATTACGTAAATTCTTTGAATAAAATGAATGATCAAACATGTGAGAAAAGGTTAACGGCGTCATCTATTAAAAAACGGAGGTAGTATGTGTTAAATCACATCAGAAACATACAAGGTTAAATTTATATATGCTACAAACATATAGTGTGAACAATTATACATGTTAATCACTGAAAATTAATGGTATTATAATGGTGTGATCGTGCCGGCAAGCCCAAAGAGCTGCCTAGGATTATCGGGCCATGGATCCGCTCATCCGCCACCAAGCGGTAGTGGGAGATAACAAATCATCATCATCATCGAAATCTTTTGAAAGGAGTATAGATTTTTCGAGGGAAATTCATTCGACAAATGTACAGCAAATCGTTTTACAAAGCACTAACCCCTTTGGTCAAAATTATTTGATGCTGGAAGCATTGACCATTCATGACTAGAGATATAGATGACCATAGCACCCGAGGCCCAATGGCCTGGCCATTTGGCCCGACCCAGACACGGCCCGATTAGGGACGTGTCCGGACCGGCCTGACCCGATAGCTGGGCCCTGCCTGGACCGATGCCTTGGCACGGTGGGCCAGCCTGGCACGGCCCAATCCAATGAGGAGGGAAGAAAAGTAGTTTAGGGACTAAAATTATACTTAATGCAGCCATATAATTCACGGCCCAAGAGTGAAGAGATGCAAAATAGACTTATCATAATCGTTTAGACATGGCCTAAAGAACTGAGGGACGAAAATTAGACTTTTTTTTGAAGAAGCGCGATGGGCTATCGTGCCTTCCGGCCGGCACGACACGGCCCGAGTTGTATTAGGTCGTGCCAGGACCGATGCTTCAACACATGGGTCAACACAACACGGCCCAGTATGTTGGTCAGACCGTGCCGGCCCAATAAATCTTTGACCCGAGCACGGTCATGCCTGGGCTGGAGCTGTGCCAGCCCGACTAACCTCGGCCCAGGCACGGCCGGGCCTGAGCCGTGCCGCCCGTTTGGCCATCTATAGTGGAGGGTAACAGATTCACCACTCATCATCATCATTGAAATATTTTAAAAGGAGTATATATTTTTCGAGGAAAATTCAATGGACAAATGTACAGCAAAACGTTTTACAAACCATTAACCCCTTTTGGTCAAAATGATTTGACGCTGGAAGCCTGGAAGCATTGACCATGCATGACCAGAGAGAACACCACAAACTACTTTGGTTGCCCGAGGCCACCGTATTAGACCGATGTACTTTCGTCCTAAAATATAAATATTTTATTTGTTCAGATTTATAGCTAAAAATTATTATATTTTAACGGATCTAATGGTATAATTATTAATCCACGAGAGATTGAGGAGAAACCTGAGATAAATTAATCAAGGAACAATCCTGTAAAGCTTCATCTTGTCGATCCACGCCTCGAACGACCTGAGCGTGTTCCGGAACCCCAGGAATCCGTGCTCCTTGCTCTTGTTCATGGTGTCGACGAACTCCCACTTGTCCATGAACAGCGCGTCGACGAACCACCAGTTGGCCACCTCGCCGAGCTCCGTCGCCACCAGCTTCTCCTCCGCGACGATCTCCGCCCACACCGCCTCCTTCCCGGCCATGGCCGCCGTCAGCCCCACCCTCCTCTCCTCCCCCTCGTACCCCGCCCACTCCACCCCGAACTTCCCGGCGAGCACCGGCCACAGCTGCTTCCACTTGTAGATGTCGCCGTTGCTGCAGTTGAACGCCTCGTTCTTCGCCGCCGCGTCGGCGACGGCCGCCCAGATCTGCTGCTCCGCGACGAGGTCGGCGTCGGACGCGTTGCTGAACCCTTCCCACGCGCCGAGGGAGCCCGGCCACCGCAGCTCTCGGCGCTCCTTGCGGCAGATGGCGGCGTAGACGCAGAGGCTGCACACGACGTTCATGGCGCTCCGCGGCGAGAACCCGAAGATGAGCGACGGGCGGTGCACCGACCAGGTGACGGCGGCGGCGCGGCGGGAGGAGGAGGAGGAGGAGGAGGAGGTCACCGCGTCGAAGAGGACGTCCTCCTGGTCGTAGTAGAAGTTGGGGTAGTCGTGGCGGGGCATGTCCTCGGAGAAGGGCGTCTCGACGGGGAGCTTGCCGATGGACTCCGGCGGGCCGATGTAGTGCTTGCTCCCGGTCTGGAGGGCGACGTGGGCGAGCGCCGGGCAGGTCGGGACGACGGCGGCGAGCACGTTCCGGAGCATGCCGGCGTTCGCCTCGCGGCTCCGCGCCTCCGCGAGGTGGGGAGCCGCCAACGCGACGTAGAAGACGTGGGTGATGTCGGTTAGCGGCGCCAGCGCCTCGGCGACGGCGGCGGCGTCGGCGAGGTCGACGCAGAGGTGCGTCACCGCGGCGGGCGGCGGCGGCGACCACGGCGGCGGCGGGCGGCGCGACAGCGCGTACACCTTCCATGGCCCGCCGGGGGTGTCCGGGAGCGGGAGGATGTCGACGAGGGAGGTGCCGACGATGCCGGTGGAGCCGACCACGAGCGCCACGCTCCGGAACGGCGGCTGCTGCTCGCCGCCGCCGCCGTCGTGGCGCTTCCTGGCGGCGCCGATGGCGCCTGCCCACCACCAGCTCATGCTCATCGGCGGCATCGCGCGCCGATGACGACGGACACGGTGATCTCTCTCTAATCTGGTTTGATTTCACCACACAGCCTGATCATGTACGTGCATGCGACGAAACAGCAACGAACACTTTAATTAGCATGCATGCAAATGCAAGCAGGACAAGGCAACGGCACCGATAATTGAGTTTAGGACAGGAACGTAGTACCAACTAGCAAGGCCACCAGCACAGGGAGTACAGTGCTAGTGGACTCATCTAATATGCTAATATGGTATTGGTACGGCCGCGTGCGTTCTCATAATATTTTTGAAATTTAATACTATATGATGAATTAGATGCCTGCTATATATAAATACAGTAAAACTGCAAAACACTCGCATATACGTACACCATATTTATATAAGCACATATGAGATATTGAGATAGCATATAGAAGTATTAAGATGATAAAGTTTTTTTTTCGAGGGGACAGGCAGGGAGTTCGTACAATTCACCATAGAATAAGAGAGTTGATCTAGTTTATAAGGAAAACCAGATCTAAAAACCTTACAACAATACGGTTAATTAAAGAAAAACCGGCGAAAACCTAGACTTTAACATACTGATCCTAAGAACAGCAGCCCAATGTAACGTCCCGCCCTCCCCCAGGCCGGGCCCACTTACATTTGATAGCTTTCATAGGTCATAGACTGCCCGCCCAATGTAACGTCCCGCCTTCCCCTAGGCCGGGCCGTCCCGCCTTCCCCTAGGCCGGGCCCACTTATATTTGATAGCTTTCATAGGTCATAGACTGCCCTCACAGACCAACACATATCTTTTCTGCACACTTTGTCCTCACTCATGTGCACCCGGGAAGAATTTCCCGGTCGGTCACCCATCCCAAATTGCTCCAGGCCAAGCACGCTTAACCCTGGAGTTCTTTGGAGATTGGCTTCCGGAAAAGAAGTTGCAACTTGTTGATATGAGTATTCTATTAATCCTATTAAGCCCTAGGCCGGGATGTTACACCCTCACCCCCTTAAGAGAGATCGACGCCCCCGTCGATCAACCCTAGGCCAGGAACGTCCTCTCTTGGCCACGTCCATGTGTCCAGTGCCAGCGCATGTGCCATGCTGTGTAACCACTCCCGGTCTACACCAGCCATGCGCACCATGCCTGCGCAACTGCGACACACGCGCCCGTGAAACCGCGAGAGTCGGCTCTGATACCATTTTGTAACGTCCCGCCTTCCCCCAGGCCGGGCCCACTTACATTTGATAGCTTTCGCCGGGCCCACTTACATTTGATAGCTTTCATAGGTCATAGACTGCCCTCACAGACCAACACATATCTTTTCTGCACACTTTGTCCTCACTCATGTGCACCCGGGAAGAATTTCCCGGTCGGTCACCCATCCCAAATTGCTCCAGGCCAAGCACGCTTAACCCTGGAGTTCTTTGGAGATTGGCTTCCGGAAAAGAAGTTGCAACTTGTTGATATGAGTATTCTATTAATCCTATTAAGCCCTAGGCCGGGATGTTACACCATCTCTGTCACACCCCAATCCGGCACCGCCGCACAACGGCACCTGATAGGAGCGTGTCGTAGGAAAAACGGCGCGAACCGCTTCCTACGAAACCGCGAACTCGGTACCAGTCCCAGGACATAGTGCTGGTACCCACGGTGACAAATATGAATCATTGCAAATCCTTAGAATAAATAGAGGACTTATTTACCTTAACTTAGGTTGCAGCTCAGACAGCCCGAGAATGCAACCGACGACACGGACGAGGCGAACACCAACAACAGCAGCTGCAGCGGAACCAACGGTCTAACACCCAACACCACAGGCGACGGCTGGGATCCAGGACGAAACTCTAATCTTCGCTTCACTTCATCTTTTCTTCAAGACGGAGGAACTATATATATATTTATATAGAGCAAGGGTGAGTACTTACGTACTCAGCAAGCCAGGGGAACTTAGGTGGTTAATGCAGGCTTCAAGGGAAGGCTGTTATTTTGCAAACAGTTTTGTTTTCAAGTTTTCAACAATCTAAGTGTGTGCTTTCCACAACCAGAGCGAGACAAGTCTCAGCTTGGTCGGGAGGTGAGAAGAACAAATTTATTTATCAAGATTTGCACAACTCCCAGAGTTGGCTTCAAATCTGGTTTTTCCCAAACCAAACCAATTTTCCAAACTTCCCGATAATAGTGGTCCCCAAACGACCAATCACTTCCAGGGACACCCGGTCCCGCTGTCCCCCGGACAGCTAAATGCTTCCCAAGCATTAGGTTTCCCAAACCTTAACACCTTTTCATAAAACAGGGTAAAACAAAAACTACGCTAAGGAATCACCTCACATCCGCCCGTGACCGTGGGCACGGCTGTTCGAACAGTTTGTTAACCTCTGCAGAGGGGGTACACTTTACCCACACGACATTACTAACCCGAATCACCCAGCCCGTGTAGAATGGCCACGTCTGGTGACCTAAGGGCTTTCATGACAAGGCATTTCGAAAGCCGACACAGGTTTACCATATGCCGACGAGAGGGGTCCCAGACCAACAACAGGTTAGGTCCCAGACCATACTGTGCCAGGAAGCCCAGGGGTCCTCCCCGACACCACCCCGGCGAATCCACATGTCTCTCGGCATCAAGGCTCCCCCGATTAGCAATTTACTCAGCCAGGGGCGTCCCATTCCACCCGTGTGGTCGCACTATTGTATGCTCGGATGTAATTCCAAAGGAATCGGTCCTTAGATGCGACCGCACAAGTATTCCGCCCAGGAATGGCCTTGTGTCGCGAGTTTTATTTTTAAAACTCATTTTCTTTCACAAGGCACCGACCCAGGCGTCGGGTTTTCCAAAGCTTTTGCAAACCAAGTTTTACCCAAGAAGTTACTCAGATTTTAAGTTTGAAGGCGACCGTTGATACTCGCACAGAGTGCACGAATATCGAGGCGCAACTAGATGGTTACAAGGGAACATGATATAACAATTAACAATGGAAGGATCAGATGCAACAAGTTGGGTAGGCCCACCGGTCTGCCTTTCAGACGGGGCAAACAAATTAAGTGTAATCCTATCAATGCATAATATTTTGCAAGCAATATAATTAAGTTCAAATATAGGCTCAGTATGTTCAAGGGTGGCTTGCCTTGCTCAGGGTCTTCACGAAGCTTCACGAATCTTCAAGATATCCACGATCGACGAAAATCCGGTAACCGCAACTATGCTCAAACAAACAAAAACCTAAACAAGAGACCAAGAAAAAGACCCTATTTAGACTAAATAATAGTGCCATTAAATAGATCTCAATTTTATGGAAATACTGGAAGTGGAACGGGGTCAATCGGACGATTGGATCGAGAGATACGAATTTTGGAAGTTTAATTAGAATTTCTGGCGAAGGAAGATATTTGTGGAACAAGGGGGGATTGATTCATGAAATTTATAGAAATAATATTCTCAAGAATATTATTGACCGTCTCTGACGTGCGGGACCAAAGGAAATGATTTATAAGGAAAATGATTCATGAAATTTTGGAATAGAGAATTGTTTTATAGGATCAAGGGAAAAAGATTTATTAACCCACGAAATAAGATAAAATGATTTACTGAATTTATAGAAGAGAGAATTATTTGTGGAATATTGGAAAGACATTCTCAAGATTATCTTTGACTCATTGACGAGTGGGGCCAATAAGAAGGTGAGAGAGAGAGAGGAGCAATTGGAGGGAGCAATTGCGGACTTTTAGCTCTTCGGTGTGTGAGCACCGGACTCGGAAGAGGGAGTAAAGGTAAACTTCCTTTGTTTTGTTAGGCCGAGGAGGAAGGCTGGCCAATGGGCCAAGCCCACGAGCCAGGGGAGAGAGGGGGAGGGGGACGACTGACCGGCTGACTGGGCAGGGGCGGGCCCGGTCAATGCCACGTGGGCAGCCACGTCGGATGGGGAGAGAAAAAGGGGGGCGGGAATGGCATCGGACGGCTCACGGCGCGCGGCGGAATCCGGCGAACGGCGGCGAGCCGAAGCGAGCGACGAACACCGGTGGCTAGAGGAGGTCAAGGCGAACCGATTCCACGGCTCGGATTGGGGAGACGACGCGTGACGACGGCCGGCGGCGGCGGCGAAGCTCGCCGGGATGCCGACGTGGATGCGCGATGGGAAGGGATGCGGCTCGCGCGCTCGGGTTTAGTGGACGCGGTATGGGGTTGCGGCGCACATGCGGTGACGCGGGACCCGACGGTCGCCGGGCTGTGGCTCGCGGCGGCGCCTTGCGGCGGCGGGAGGGGCGGCACGGCGCGGGAGCGAGGAGGAAGGTCGGCGGCCAGGGGGAGGGGTTGGGGAGGTCGAGGGGGGCCCGAGGAAGGTGGCAGCGCCGGGAATCAAGGATAGGAGGGAGGCCGACGGCAGGGGAGGCGCAGCGGAAGTGGCCGAGCGCGGCAGCGGCGGATCGGGCGACGCGACGCGAGGGCGAGAGGGGAGGCCGGCGGCTGAAACAGCGGCTTGGGGAGGTAGCGAGGGAACTCAAGAACGGCGGTGGCTAGAGGAGTCGCCGAGAGGGAGGCCAACGGCGGCTCTCGATTGCGCACGGCGGCGGAAACAGAGCACGCGCGACGCGAGCTACGCGATTGCTGGGACAGCGGAAAAGGGAGGTGGGGAGCTCACCGACGGGAGGTGATGGCGTCGGCGGCGAGTTGAGGATGGGAAGGCCGATGGCGGCGCATGGACGAGCAGCGGCGCACGGCGACGAACGCGACGCCGAGGCGGCATCGCGTCACGGCGGGCGTGCCGGGGAAGGGAACGGAGGCGTGCGGTGGCGCCCTTGGTCGCGGCGGTGGCATTCTTGGCCGCGGCGACCAAGAAGGCGGCGACGCTCCGGGGTTGGCCGCGCGACGGCGACCGAGGTTGAGGGAGGAGGCGGCAGAGGACGGACCGTGCGACGGCGAGATGTCGCCGGACATAGAGCTCGACGCGACGGCGAGGAGTTCCCATGGCGGCAGGGCTCCGCCGATTGGGGGGGGGGAACGAAGCAAGGGAGGGAGGAAGCACGGGGGGTGGGTTTTATAGAGACGGAGTAGGAGCGGCAAGGTCGGTTCGAGGTGGCCGCGGTTTTCTCGGCGCTCGGCTGGTGTTCATGGGCGCCGCGAGAACGAGCTACGGCGAGGATGCAAAGGGTGGTGGAGGCGGTGGATCGTGTGGTGGAAATCGAACCGCGAGCACGGGAGGATTGGCGCGGGGCGAGCGGGTGCG